AATACCCAATTTAAAATCAAGCAGGTGATTCAATGACAAATTCACATTCGATTCGAGACTTTAAAAAATTAATCTTCTATGATCTCTTCAGTTTCTTCTACCACTTCTTCAATCCACTCTTCAATGACTTCCACAATGTCATCGTCCTTCTTAGAAACCGGCATAATACCAGCATTTTCTCTTTCTTCTATCAGTTCTTTTTCTACTCTCTTGCGCCATGCATTCCATTCATCCACAAGGCGACGTCGGTGAGCGATCTGTTCTTTAGACACTGTTGATTTTTCAAAGTAATCTTCTTCATCAAATATCTTTGAATAATCTCGTAGATTTTTTTTAATTGTTTTCTTTTGTTCACTTGTTAATAAACTTTTTGGACGAGGTCGCCATAATAATTGCTTGAATTTATCCATTAAATGTTTTTGTAATTGAGTACCCTTGAAATCCCATAAGGTATATCCATTTTCTATCTATTTATCATAAAAAAAAAAAAAGAATGTTAAAAACTCATCGTTTTATAATTAACGACAATTAAACTGTAAATAGTTATTACTACTCACGTTATGCCTCCAGAAACTAGAACTGGTAATAACATAACGTCCAGTAGGATCCCATTCAACATCAGTAAGGCCATAATGTTCTTGCGTGCTCATTAGTTGTAAACATGCGGCTGGATCGGTTTTTGTATATTCTTTTTGCTCAAGAGTTGTTTCAAAATCTAAATCCCAAAATTCTAAATCGAAAATTGTAGTAGAACGTAAAGTAGCCAAAATCACATGTCGACCTTGCGGTGACCAATAAATTGCATTTGATGTTTTTTTTTCAAGAGTTTCTAAATAAATGTGATTAATTTGTATTAGTTTATATTTTTTTAAAAGAAATTATAAATAAAACACTCACTTATTAATTTAAAATTGGCTGTCCCAACTGAGTCTCCTTTACCAGATTTTGGTTTTTCAAGATAATAAAATGATACACTAGTTTTTAATGTCACGCCTTGTGTTGGTTGACCATAATTGGGATCATTTGTTGTAATAATCGCGAAACGTTCACCCTTGGGCTCCCACGCGAAAGCAATTACTACATCTAAATTGGAAAGAAATTAAGATATATTCTATATAAGTTAATCCTCTATAAAGTTTAGGATCACAAGTACCTTTCACTTCGATAACTTCAA